CTCTGTCTTTCTTTGCTCTTGCGTATGAGCTGGGAAATGAGAAAGAAGCAGTGTGTGACTGAAGAGCAAAAAATTCTATTGCAGAGAAAGTACAAATCATTCACCAATTCATTCTTCTTATCACTTGCACTCTCCAGCCCAGGTAGAGTTACTTATGGATATGAAATTGTAGAAATCAAGAAGAATATTATTGGACAAAGGCTAGCAAATGGAATCTTTTGGGTGAAGTGCAGTTGGATAATGATCTTCATGCCTTATTTAATGAGGATGCTAATACAAAATTCTGTCTGAAAACTCTGGAAATGTGGAGCAAATACTAGACAAGTAGTGAAGTGGAAAGACATACTTTGTATAGCAGAGTGGACTTTTAATAAATGTGGACCATCCTGAATAAAGTGGAGACTGAAAAAGAATCTTTTTTTCTCCCCCTACAAGATGCAGAGCTTGGAGGCAAGTTGTCATGTCCCTTGTGTGGACTTTGGGTTGTTCAACTTTCAGGTGACAGATAAAGGGAGTGCTAACCAATAGGTTCTGAGGTAGAGTGGGCATCATGATGGAGTGTTACATGTTATTTGATATTTTGCAGCCCAAAGTTTAAAGTATGTTAATAATTCTAGAAGATGTTTTCCTACAAAGATTTTGATGATCTTTAATATCATCTCTAGCAACAGAGCAAAGGTTGGATCCAATGATTCTGCTTCACAAGCAGTACCAGAGTGGTTTCTGTTACGCTACTTCAAACATCTTTTACAAATGGAAGAAAGTCAGAAGGTCAAGGCTGTGGAGATTCAAAGCCTGGAAAATCAATCAATCAATCAATCAATCAATCAATCAGATTCAGGCTCCAACAACCTTGAAGGGTACTCAATTAGCACTTGGAAGCATTAGGTTAAGAATGACGAAAATTCAACCAGTTGAATGTAAAGCTGCAATCTTTTAGTGTCAGAAATATGGTTGTGGCTTTTTTTAAAACCAAAAATGAAGTTGCGTTGGATTCTACAGTCTCTTTGACGCAACAGCAAAATGCAGAAACGTAGGATTTGGGTATGTAGGACATTTTGGATATTTGAACCTGCTCCGTCATTCAATATGTTCAAAGCTGATCTTCTAACTCAGAACAGTTCCTGTGTCTTCCCCATACCTTTTTGATCCTTTTAGCTCCAAGAACTATAGCTAATTCCTTCTTAAAAGAATTCAATGACTTGGCCTAAACCACTTTCTGTTGGAGAGAATCTGCATGCTCACCATTCTTGAGCTGAAGAAATTTTTTCTCCTCTTCTCAGGCCTGAATGACCTACGCCATATCCTTAGACTGTGACACCTGGTTTTGGCCTTCCAGTCATCGAGAGCATCCTTCCTGCATTTACCCTCCTGCCATCCCAGGAATCAGTCAGCTAAACTTTGTTGCATTCCATTCACAGCCAGAACATCTCTCCTTCAATAAGGAGACCAAAACTGCATGTAAAACTCTAGGTGCAGACTCGCTAAGGCCCTATAAAATTGCAGTGACATCCTTGTTTCTGTACCCTAATCCTCTTACTATGAAGACCTTTAGATCATTTGCCTTCTCTACCACCTGTACTACGTGCAAATTTGTGCAGCTGGTATTGGAGGACACCCAGGTCTCATTGCACCTCCCTCTTTCGCAATCTGTCACCATTGAGATAATAATCTGCCTTCCTGTTTTTGCCACCAAAGTGGATAACTTCATATTTATCTACATTATACTTCACCATTTGTCCACTCAGCCTGTACAAGTTATACTGCAGCATCTCTGGATCCTTCTGGAAGTTGGCATTTCTATATTGGTTCATATCATGTGAATATTGGAAATGCAGCATTTGGCTGCCTCATTTAAGTCATTAATATATATTGTGAATGGCTGAAGTCCAAGTACTGATCCTTGTGAAACCCCACTGGTCACTTCCATTCAAAAAGATTTGTTTATTCCTCCAGTTTCTTGTCTGCCAACCAGTTCTCTATCTACCTCAATACACTACCCCAATCCTTGTGCTTTTAATTTACACGCTAGTCTCTTGTGTGAGACATTAGCAAAAGCCTTCTGAAAGTTCAAGTATACCACATACATTAGCTCAACTTTACCTATTAGTTACATTCTCAAACAATTCCAGTAGATTTGTTGAGAATGACTTCACTTTTGTAAATCCATGGTGAACCTGTCTGATTTTTGTCACTGTTTTCCAAGTGCACTGTTAATAAATCTTTTCTAACGGACTTCAGCATTTTCCCCACTATTCATGTCAGGCTAACCAGTTTATAATTCATACTTTTTTTTTAAATTGTAGGGTTGTGTTAGCTATTCTCAAATCCATAGGAACTATTCCAGAATCTATAGGATCTTGAAAGATTACCACCAAGGCATCTACATCTAGGCCCACTTTCTTCAACACTTTAGGATGTAGTTTATTGGACCTTGAATATTTACCAACTTCTAACCCTTTTAGTATCTCTCCCTCTCTCTCTCTCTCTCTCTCTCTCTCTCTCTCTCTTTCAGTAGAACCTGTGTCCTCCAATGTTTTTGAAAAGTTAGTTATGAAAAATTATGGTCATTGCATCTGCACTTCAAGTTTTGTTTCCTTCAGTGTCCTTAAAAGCACCTCAAGCAGTTCAGATGCCTTATATACTTCTAAGTATAGATAATATATCCAATATCACCTATTTTTCATTTCAAACTCTTTTTAGTATTTTGTTACAACTGGTCCCTTAGCAAAGGTCCCTAGTTTGTTGATTGCAGAAAGGACACCACTTAATTGTTATGCCTCCAGGTGAAGAGGGAGGAAGTGGCTACCTTTGTTGAGAGGAAAGTGATGTTTTGTACTTTGATATGATGGCTATTCATTTTTAAATCTAGTTATAATGCATAGTAGTTTTACCATCTAAATGTCACTTTCTTGTAGTGCAAGTACTATTGGCCAGAGAAATTATTACGTAACTACGTTTTGTAGTTTTAGTCTGCTAGAAATAGAGAGCTAGAGTAAGAGATCCAAGTTCAGTGACTAGTGGATTAGGTTGTGAAATCAGTTCCTGTTCTGTATTTGATAAGGTTGGTTTAGTCCATGAGATTCACAATGGCAGGAGAATGCAACCCCATGGAATGCTGCTCCTGGAATTTTTGGGAAATCAGGGACACTTCCAGTGTCCATGGTGACAATGAATGCAGCGTGTGTGTTTAGCTGCAGCTCCTGATTCGCTGAGTGGAGCACCTGGAGCTGCGGATGGGCTCATTCTGGAGCATCCATGAGACTGAGAATGTCGTGCAGAGCACGTTTTAGTGAGCTAGTCACACCACTAAGGGCTACACAACAGAAGAGTTGCCTGACCACCAGGAAGGTGTTTAAGTGTGGACATGTAGTGCAAGAATCTCTTGGGGCCAGAATCATAGAATCCCTACAGTGTGGAAAGAGGTCATTTGGTCTATCAAGTCCACACTGACTCTCCAAAGAGCATCTCGCCCCAGACCCATGCTCTATCCTATAACCCTACGTTTTACCATGGCTAATCCACCTAGCCGACACTGCCCTGGACGTTATGGGGCAACTTAGCATGGCCAGTCCATGAAACTAGCACATCTTCGGACTGTGGGAGGAAACTTGAGCACCCGGAGGAAAGCTACACAGACGTAGAGAGCATGTCCAAACCCCACACAGTCACCCAAGGCAGAATTGAATCTGGATCCTTGGTGCTGTGAGGCAGCAGTGCTAACTGCTGCCTACCGTTCTATCATTTCCATCTCGGAAGTACATCATTTTGGATACTGTTGAGGGATATGGTCTCTTAGGAAACCAGTAGCAGCCAGATCAGTGGCACCACAACTGGCACTGTTGCATGGCAGGGAAGGTTGAGGTGCAGGTGAGCAACAGTGATAGGGGACTCTATGGTCAGGGGCATAGGTGTTTCTGTGATCACAAGCGAGACTCCAGATGGTGTGTTGCCTCCAGTTGCTAGGGTCAAGTATGTCTGTAAGCATCTACAGGATATTCTGAAAGGGAAGGGTGAGCAATGAAAGTTATGACTCATATTTGTGCCAATGGCGTAGGACCTCATCTCTCTTTCTGCCTGCAAAGGGAGTTCAAGGAGTTAGGTAGGCAGTTGAAAAGCAGGACCTTTTTTTAGGCTTATAATCTTGTAATTACTGCCTGCCTCACATGCTAGTGAAGCTAGGAAAAGGAAGATGCTACAGTTAAATATGTGGCTAAAGAACTGGTGTAGGAGGGAGGGCTTCAGGTATGTGGGTAATGGGCTGTTTTCTGGGAAGTGGGACCTGTAAAGGAGGACGGCTTGCATCTCAACTGGAGGGGGTACCAATTTCCTGGGAGGTTTGCTCGTGCTTTGGGAGTGGTAAACTAGTGTTGCAGCGTAATGGGGGAGTAGGTTAGCAAGTAAAATGACCAAGGAGTAGTTGGAGACTAAGACAGCTAAGACTAAGAGGAAGAACAGATGGGGGAGGTTAGTAAACATGGCAGGACTGGCAGTCTGAATTGCATTTGTTATAATGTGAGGAGTATGATAGATAAGGCAGATGAACTTTAGAGCTTAGATTAATACATATATCTATGGTGTTACAGCTATGACAGAGACTTAGTTGAGAGAGGAATGAAACAGGCAGCTTAACGTTCTGGAGAAAAAAACATTTCGGGCAAGATAGTGAAGGATGTAAAAGATTTTGATTTGATCTGATTTTATTACATGTGTCTTGTTACAAAATAGTGGTGTTGTTGTATAATGTCACCACCCTTTGGCGCCATCTTAAAACACAAAAATAAATGGAATCGTTGAACATAAAAGCCAAAAAAAAATGAAGAAATAAAGTGAGTATCCAACTTTACAGCCCTTCTTGTTAAGTGCTCCGTCATGGATCATAGATCATGGACCATGGGCCTAGTGGCTAGGTAAGAGTCCCCTTTGCAGTGCCGCTGCTGCTGAAACAAAAGTCGCCACACTACGGTGCCATCTCACCTTTATCAATGTTGCCAATGCAGACACCACTGATGCTGCTGTGTACAGCACCGACCCAGACACTCCGTCACTGCCATTGTCATGAGACCACATAAGGCACATCTCACCGATTACAGCCACTGCTGATGCCGCTGGGTCTTATACTGGGCCCAAATTTACCTCTGTGAATCTGTGCCAGACGCAAACGTCGCTGAAAACCCAAACATGCCTCCACAACCGCAGCAGCCATGAGTCAATGTTAGGACCACCTCGACAATGCGGAAGCCGCTGAGAACTCAAACTCTTCTCCACTGCTACCATGAGTCTGCCGTGCTGGGCCTACTCGAGTCCATGACACAGCTCTTCACCAAGAGGTGAGTAAAATAAAATAGAGGGGAAAATAAAATGATGAGAATAAAAAAAAACAAGTGGAGTGAGCAGATGAGCCCTGGGCTCAGAAGCCCTACTCCACTGCCGTCTTACTGCGATTCTGGTAAAAGAAGTTGGGGGGTGTGGTGTGGTGGTGGTTTCATTACTGATTAGGAAGAATATCACTGCTGTACTGAGGGAGGACATGTTGGAGTGCTCATTTTGCAAGCCATGTGGGTAGAGCTCAGGAATAGGAAGGATGGCACTACTTTGGGATTGGACTGCCAACAGCCAGCCGCACAAACAGGTATGTGGAAAAGTGTGAAACAGCTGGTTGTTGTGGTGAGTGATTCTAACTTCACCTATATTGACTGTAACTCACTTAGTGCAAGGGGCTTGGATGGGGAAGAATTTGTTAGATGTGCCCAGGACATTTTTTTTAAATGATATATAAATAGTTCAACAGGGAAGGAACCATGTTAGTCCTGGTAGTGGGGAATGAGCCCGGACAGATGATCTAAGTTTCGCTGGGATAGCATTTCAGGAACAGTGACCAAAATTCTGTAAGTTTTAAGTTGCTGATCGATAAGGATAAGAGTAGTCCTCGGGTGAAGGTACTAAACTGGGGGAAAGACTAGCTACTGTAATACTAGGCAGGAACTGGAGATTGGAGTGGGAGCAGTGTTTGAGATTGAATCTTCATCTGAAGTGGGAATTTGTTTAAAGGCCAGCTGAATAGAGTTTAGGGCCTGCATGTTCTTGTGAAAATAAAGAATAAAGGATGGCACGAGTCAGGAAGTTCGAATGACAAGAGAAATTGAAAGCTTAGTTAAAAAGGCAAAGGAAGCTTACGTAAGGTTTTGGAAACTGAAGACTGACAGAACCCTTGAAGAATACAAAGATACGAGGAAAGCACTCAAACAAGGAACTAGGGCTAAAAGTGGCCATGAAATGCCTTTGTCAAACAGGATTAAAGAAACTCTCAAAGCGTTTGATACACGTATAAGGAGGAAGAGTGCAGTTGGGGTAAAGGTAGGTCCACTCGAGGACAAAGGAGGGGATTCATGTGGCATGTCAATATAAAAAAGCTGGTGTTGGATGTTTTTAAGTGTTCAGGTTAACAAGTCTCCAGAATCCGATGGGATCTATCTAAGAATGCTGAGGGAGGCGAGTGAGGAAATTGCTGGGGCTCTGTATGAAATCCTTGTATCCTGTTTAGTCACAGGAGAGGTCCCAGAGTACTGCAGAATAGCCAACACTGTTCTTTCCTTTATCAAGGACAACAGTTATAATCTGGGAAATTATGGACTGGTGAGCCTTGAGTCAGTAGTAGGGAAATTATTGGAAAAGAATCTTAGGATTTACTTACTTTTTGATAAATACGGACTTGTTAGCCGTAGCAGCATGGCTTTGTATGGGGATTGTGACTTAAACTTGATTGAGTTTTTTTGAGGAAGTGACAAAGGTGATTCAGGGCAGGGTAAATATTGTCTATATGGTCTTCAGCAAGGCCTTTGACAAGGTCTGTCATGGTAGGCTGATGCAAAGGGTGATACACATGATGAGTTGGTAAGGCAGATACAGAACTGGCTTAGTTATAAAAGACAGTAACGGTGGAGGAGTGTTTTTCTGACTAGAGATCTATGACAATTGATGTTTCACAGTATCAATAATGGGACCCCTGCTGTTTGTAACATATAAATGATTTAAAGGAGAATGTAAGTGGTCTGATTTAGTAAATTTGTGGATGACCCAAAAATTGGGAAGCGCTGGATAATGAGGAGGATTGCCAGAGGATACAGCAGGATATAGATAGGGTGGAGACTTTGTTGAGGAAATACAGATGGAGTTTAATCCGGACAAATATGAGATGATGCATTTTGGAAGATCTAATACAGCAGGCAAGTATACAGTAAATATCAGTGCTGTAGTAGCATCAACACACAGAGGGATCTAAGCGTGCAGGTCCACAGTTCCCTGAAAATGGCAACACAAGGAATGAGGTGGTCAAACAGGCATGTAGAATGCTTGCTTTCATTATTTGGAGTCTAGAGTACAGAAATTGGCAAGTCATGTTGAAGTTGAATAGAACTTTGGTCAGGCCACATTTGAAATATTGTGTATAGTTCTGGGTACCACATAGGAATGTGGCTTTGGAGAGGATGCAGAAATAGTTTGCTAGGATTTTGCCTGGTTTTGAGGGTATTAGCTGTGAGGAGAGATTGGATAAACTTGGCTTGTTTTCACTAAATGTCAGAGGCTGAAGGGTGACCTGATAGAAGTTTACAAAATCGAGACATGTTGATAGAATAGATAGACAGAGCTTTCTTTCTTTTTTCCAGGGTAGAACTGTTAATTAGGAGGGTAAATAGGTTTAAGGTAAAAGAACAAACAACAGTACAGCAGAGGAACAAGCCATTCAGCCCACCAAAATGCACCAATACATGATGCCTTTCGAAACTTAACCTTTTTGTCTCTACAGTTTTCGTATCCCTCTACTGCCAATTCATATCTGTCAAGAAAAGGGGGTAAGTTTATAGGAGTTGAGAGGTAAAGGGGTGATAAGTGCCTGGAACATGCTGCCAGAGGAGGTGATGGAGGTAGATACAATAGCAGGGTTTAAGAGGCACCTTGACAGGTAAATGAATAGGCAGGGAATATTGGGAGAAGGACCACGTAGACGTGTTTAGTTTAGAAAGGCATGTTTTGGCACAGATTTGGTGTACTGATTTTTGTGCTGAGCGAGTGCACTCTGTCTTCCCAGGTTTGGAGAATCGAGGATTAGAAGGCATCAGTTTAAGGTAGGAGGGGAAAGAATATATGGGAACCTGAGGGGCAACTTTTTAGAGGGTGGCATGCATCCACGCTCCCTGCCACCGACACTCAGTAGCAGCAGTGTGTACTATCTTCAGGATGCACTGCAGAAATTCAAAGATCCCCAGATAGCACCTTCCAAACCCACGACCACTTCCATCTAGAAGGACAAGAGCAGCAGACATATGGGAACACTACCACCTCCAAGTTCCCTATCAAGCCACTCACCATCCTGACTTGGAAATATATCACCATTCCTCCACTGTTGCTGAGTCAAAATCCTGGAATTCTCTCCTTAATGGCATTGTGGGTTAATCTACAACAGGTGGACTGCAGCAGTTCAAGGAGGCAGCTCACCAGCACCTTCTCAAGGGCAATTAGGGATAGGCAAGAAATGCTGCTGGCCAACCAGCGATGCCCATATCCCACAAATTGAAATTAAAAATGGAATGAGCTGCCATCAGAAGTGGTTGAGGTGGGTACATTAACAACATTTGGACAAATACGTGGATAGGAAAGGTTTAGAAGGATATGGGCCAAGTGCAGGGAAATGGGCTTAGTGTGGATGGACGTCTTGGTCAGCATGAGCAAGTTTGGACTGAGGAGTCCCACAGCACGGAGACAGACCCAATGACTCTGAGTGGGTCAGCTTCGGTATGATTCTTGTTCAACTTTTACATGACCGTAGCAAGGTTTTCAAACTTCAGAATGCTCTAAACTCTTTGCAGATCCAAATAGGTATAGTCTTTCTGAAATCATAGCCTTTATAATTTCAGAAGAATAATTTTGAAGTGAACCAATTTGTCAAACTGCAGAAGAAGAAACAACTCGAATTTCGGTAAAATAATGACAAATTTAAGAAAAAGATACTGTATATGAAAAGGTCATTTTTGAGTATTTTAGTTCAATTAGAAATCAGTACAGGGTGGCTCAGTGGCTAGCACTGTTGCCTCAACACTAGAATCCTGGGTTCCTTTCCATCTTTTGTCTGTGTGGAGCTTGCAGGCTCTCCCTGTGTCTGCATGGGTTTCCGCCAGATGTTCGGGTTCTCTCCAAAAGACGTGGAGTCTAGGTGGGTTAACTATGGTAGATGTGGAATTGCAGACATGTAATGAAGGGCTGGGCCTGAATGGGATGCTGTTCAGAGGGTCAGTACAGACTTGAATGGCCCCTCTGTATTGCAGGATTCTATGTTTATAGTTACAACTGTTGTATAGTTCATTTAAGTAGAGCAGAAAGCCGGAATAGAATCCGTATAGTGTGGAAGCAGGCCATTCAGCCCATTGAGTCCACATCGACCCTCCAAAGAGCATCCCACACTCGGATCCAGCCTGCATGTCCCTGGACACTGTGGACAATCTAGCATGGCCAATCCACCTAACGTGCACATCTTTGGACTGTGGGAGGAAACCAGAGCACCCGGAGGAAACCCACGCAGACTGGTGGGGGAAGAGTGTCTGTGTGGAATTTGCACGATTGCCCCAGGAATCAAACGCAGGTCCCTGGCATGGTGAGGCAGCAGTGCTAACCACTGAGTCACCATGCTGTCCTATATACTGATCAAATGGCTTATGACTGAAATTACAAACCATGCTTAAACAGACAGCATGCATATAACTAAAACTATGCCACATAAAGCATGATTGAGAAACCAATGGGATGTTTAAGAAGAACTTTCACTCTGGAGGAGGACTGTACTATTGTGCGCGTGCCAAGACTCGTTGCGTGTTACATAACCTCTGTATCATGAGGACTTGACCCTTGACATTAGCTATACAGTGATGAGATGAGAAGGACGAAGGGATGAGGCAACTAACACTGGCCCTTTCTATTTAGATGATCGATGATTGATGATTGATTCATCTCTGAATACCAATGAACACACTCCAATTTCCCCTTTAGCAACCATTCCAGACCCGTCACTGACCATCGCTGCATTATCTTGGTATAGTAATCAGCTATGATCTAATCACTGATGGGCTGAATGGTCAACAATTGCTATTATTTCATAGGTTTGAACAAAACCAACTACAAAACTAACATTTCAAGTCAAATTCATAAAATGAACTATATCAAATTATATACAGAAAATAACTAATCACCTTTGTGCATTCACTTCATACTTGTACCAGTGTTCCTGCACAGTGCTACTCCAGTGGATGTTGCAATTTTAAATTGCATTGTGAGCATC